TTACCTTAGTTGGCAATCATCCCCTTTAATCTCACAGCCTATGTATGTTTTGTCTGGAGAAAAATTAGATGCTGGTCACCCTTAGAGTTTGAAGGGTTCCTTTTTTTTCACAGTGGGTGCACATTAGGAGACAAAATATAAAGAATTCTTTCTCTTTGCAACTTCCACCAATCTTTAATGAATAACATATACAGAGTACATCTCTTTGGTTGTTTTAACTAAAATATTTTAAATTATAATCCAATAGAGGCATTCAAATGTCTCTTGGTGACCAGGAAACACCTTACAAATATGATCAAAGATGCTTCATGAAATCTCTACCCAGGGAATTCAAATACAGAACAGGTTGATGGTCAGAAACATGTAACTTCTCCCTCTAATATCCATGCATTATTTAGCATGTAGGTGATAAGAATACTCAAACGTATTGGGGAGTTGTTATCTTGATGTAACACCAAATTCTCATTACTAAGTTATGAGGAAGTGTGTAGCAGACAGATGGGAGAATTTATAATTAAAATCTGGTGTTCCACAAGGTTCCATATTGGGCCCTCTACTCTGTTATTCATATCAACGATTTGCCCCACTGCATTAGGATTTGTAATGTGCTTATGTACGCAGATGATACTGTTTTGTTTTGTGCCGGATCTAACTCTTAAGTCATCAAAGACAATCTGAATCAAGACCTGAATACATTGGGTGAATGTCTTCAAGTGAACAGCTTGTTTCTTAAATTATACCAACAAGACTGATGCCATGCTATTTGGAACTCATTCTAAACTGTCTAAACATAGACTTTGATAGTACTTTTCACAGACAAAGTTTAAAACGGGTAAACATGTTCACCTATCTTGGTATTATATTTGATGAGACTATTTCTTGGGCTCCCCACATTCAGTACATTTTATCTAAAGCTAGCAAAAGATTAGGTATGCTATCTCAATTATGAAGAGATTTAACTCGTCATGCTGCCAACACTTTATATCTATCATTTATCCGTCCAATTTTTGACTATGGTGACACTGTATGGAACTGCTGTGGAGTGGGCAGACTGCTGGATAATTTTCAAAGAAGGGCATCCAAAATTGTTTCAAGATCTATGGATAGTGACAAAGCTTTAATGGATCTTAAATGGCCTGAGTTACAGTCGAAAAGAGACGAACATACTTTTAAATTAGTTAATAAATGCATTTCTGGTAACTGTCCTCAATTTTTTAAGCAATATTTCAATTTTAATAATACCATAACAAGACAGAGAAATTTACTTCATTTGCCTTGCATTACAACTGAAACAGCCAAGAAATCTTTTTATTATCATGGATGTGTTGTTTATAATACTCATGTTAATTAGAATTTTCTATAATATTTTATATCAAATAGATTGTTTTGTGCATATTTATATATTATTATACCATCATCTATATATAGATTTTTATAGTATGGTTCGATAGTTAGATAGCACATATGATATTCTTGCTGCCGTTATTATTATTATTATTATTATTAGTATTATTTATATTTACTTTTGTATTGTGCATTGTATTTATCTTAGGATCCTATTCACCAGGGCTCCTATTGATAGCAAAGCTTTACGTTCTGATGGGACTACCCTGGTGTTGGGATTGTTATTATTTTATTTTAAATAAAGGTGTCCTCATCATCTTGGGACTTAAAGGCTTAGTTTCACCCATTCAGCTTTGCAGCTGTTTGTTATTGTTTTGAAATGACAATCTCATTTCTGATTGGCTCTTTGCTTATTGCAACATATACTTGATAGTATAGGTGGCCAGTATTGATTTTTATGAAAGACAAGTTGAATTACCCAACAAACTCTTGACCCCATAATTTATAACAACTTTCCACTGAATAATTAACCCTAATTTAATTATTAAACTATGAAAACCCCCTATGCTTTGTCTAACAATAGCATTGCTCAAAATGAATATTTTTTGAAAAACTAAAAGCTAACCCTTAAACAAGGACTGGAGAGAGAAGCACATTTAATAAAAGCTGCATATAATAATCCGATTTACACATAAAACACCTTCAACTTATAAGAACTTTCCTCCTCATATTACTTCATCACAATATATGATTAACTCTATGATTATTAAGTGATTGGATAAAACAGTAGACTTTACAATAGATTATGCAAATTGTTATAAGAACATACACCATAAACAACAATTTGTTTCCATGAGAGGTAAGTAATGCCACCAAGGATAGCTGTACCCTCAAAGATGGTTGTATAAAATTTGGATTCCTGCAGTGCAAGTGTTACCTAAAATTTCATGCCAAATTGTTGATAATGGTAAAGACTAC